ATTTTAAGAATGAATGTGGTTCTGGTTATGAAAAACTGAAGCAATGTGATTATTATTGGATCAGAGTCAAGAAATACAGTATTAGCTCTGCAGCACTGACTACATTTGGTTTCACTGCAGGAAAATCCTGATCAGTAGGCAATAAGATCTCTTACCTATTAAGTGCTGGAATCTCCTCTCTTCCCGATTCTAAAATAAGATGCTGCAATGATGTTTATTTTAAATCAATTAACATACATAACTATCCACACTCTATCTCTATACCCAAAAACTAAATGTCTGAAACAAAAACAAAAAAACCGTAGCAATAGACACAATCAAAAACATATCAAATAATTGTATAGACTTCTATTCAGCTATTTCACTATTCTTTAACTTCTAATAATACTGACAAAAATAACAGAAATTTACTAACTTTGTACCCTGGTCTACATGGTTTTTGGGGATTCTTAAAGAACAGAACTACAGTATTAGTGATGAAATTCCCCTCTACTTGTTATGAATTTTCTAACATTTCATTGTATTTCCTTTAATGCTGAACACTCATACATCTTTAGCTTTTGAATATTTTGTAGTTGCTGAAATTTGTTGTCTATTATCAATGGATTTACCCTTCACAAGCTCCAACATAAGACTGACATACATTGGGGCATCGTCCTGATGATAATCTACTTAAGCGTTCAAGACAGGTTAGAAAGAGTGTAATGTTTTCTAGCTGCCAAATGATGTTAAAGGATCATTACAATAATGATAATAAACACGTGCCTAAGGCCACATGCATATCCGCAGGTATACAATCTGTTTTACTTGTTCACACCTCCTTCACTCTTAATGAGCTCAGTAGTATCTCTATAAAATTCAAAGAAGCCACAGAAACAGGTATCATGACTGTTTTCCCTTGATATCTCTGAACCACAAGAGAGAGTGAACATTACATTATCTTACAAGACCAAGAAGTAGCCAAAGCATCAACAGATTCCCAAACAGCAGAACAAAATCTGTTCTGAAAAGTTTTAAGACGTCTAGTTGTATGTTTGTAGTATGCTTACTTCTATGTGCCTGTTCCAACTTCCATTAAGGACCCTATTACGCTAACCAGTGATTCTCAACCTGGAGTCCCCAGATGTTTTTGACCTTCAACTCCCAGAAATCCTAACAGCTGGTCAACTGGCTGGGATTTCTGGGAGTTGTAGGCCAAAAACATCTGGGGACCCCAGGTTGAGAACCACTGCGCTAGACCTTAAAGAGTAGGTAAAGAGTATGCATCCTATTTGAAATTCGGTGGATGCCTTCTGCAGAATTCTGGGGTTTGTAGTTTAGGGAGGGGTTTTAAACTGCTTAGCTAGCAAGGTCCTGGGCCTCACTAAACTACAAACCCCAGAATTCTGCAGGGGATAAAGCAGTAACTGCTGATGTATCAAACATGTGTTTTCTGTATGTAAGGTCACCAAGATCTTGAACTGGGCGCTCTGCCAATGTTCAATTACCTTACACTCTATGCCACTATGGTGGCTTGCCAGAAGAGCAGATGACTGGCCTGGTCTCTGTTCTCTTCAGTGAGATTATCATGAACAGTCAAAGGATGGTGCAGCAATTCCCAATACTGAATGGGTTAGGTGACAGAAGGGGACCAACAGGGCTCCATGTGGTCTGTAGAAACACTGCTAATATTGGTCTGGCTCCTTGGTCTGAGCAACTTGTTGCCCAGACACCCAACAACTCTTGTCCCCTCTTACCTGTCTTCCCAGCTCAGCCAACAGCTTGACTCAAACCCATCTGCTCTATTTTGATACAGAGCAACACCCTGGCAAGCATACATATGGTTGTTTCCCCTTCAAAACCTCCAAGAGCTAATGGCACTTAGAATGGAAAAATGGAAGAGCTGTATACATGGGCATTAGAGTTTTGCACTAGGTGGAACATAGTCAGTGCCATGAGAATGCACATGTAGTTCTTCCTCAGCCAATCACTACAAGTTAGAACATGTGTCTGTACAAGACAAGCGGAGAACAACCTACTGTGGAAACATCTGCATGACTGTGGGGTGAGAGGTAGCTACTTGGGCAGGTAAAACAGAAGATATATGATCTCCACAGTATTTAGTTCCAAAACACTATCTTAAGCTATCTTAAGCTTGCATTCTTGTTAAGTAATGTGTTGTCGGAGGCTTTCATGGCCGGAATCACTAGGCTGCAGTGAGTTTTCCAGGCTGTATGGCCATGTTCCAGAAGCATTCTTTCTTGACATTTCGCCTGTATCTATGGCAGGCATCCTCAGAGGTTGAGGGGTCTGTTAGAAACTAGGCAAGTGAGGTTTATATATATGTGGGATGTCCAGTGTGGGTGAAGAACTCTTGTCTTCTTGAGGAAAGTGTGAATGTTGCAATAGGCCACCCTGATTAGAATTAAATGGCCTTGCAGCCTCAAAGTCTGAATTTGAACCAAACCTCTCAACCTTCGAGGATGCATGTCACAGATGTGGGCAAAACGTTAGGAGAGAATGCTTCTGGAACTTGGCCATATAACCCAGAAAACTCACAGCAACCCAATAAAATTTCACCAGTAGCTCCACTGTTCCAAGGTTTAATTAAATGCCATTAAATATAACAAAACAAATCAGAATTCATTTGAAAACTAATAATTTTAGACTCAAATTTTTGCCTCTGTTTTCAAAGTTTGCTGCCATATAGTTGGACTGAAATTTTGGTAAATCTTAAGGTATCTTTTAAAAAATGATCAATTATTCACTATATTTTTTCATACAAATCATTGGATAACTCTGGCCATAGGAGATGCAGCACACCATGTACTAATCAGAACCATAACTAACTGTTTTAGTTTATTTCAATCCATTCTTTTAAGATGTAAGGTACATCTTTCAGGTAGCGTTAAATGACTTCTGCTAACAAATATAGATCTTTATTGTTACAAAGGAAATCAAATTCTCAATTTTGAAATGGCTTCTGTTCTTTCCATATATACAAGATATTGTATGTTACATTTCATATGAAATTCATGTTAGGCCTTATGAAACTCACCTTTCAGCTTGTCCCGTCATGTTTTGTTATTGCACAATACGGATTAAGACACAGAACAAACATTCTTACAATGTCCATGACACACTGTGCCAATTAAGCAGTCAAGTGGCAATTTTGCTAATATATTAATCATTAGTCTTCCCCAGAACCAGAAATATTTACACAAAATAAAGAGCGTAAAGACAGGACCTTATAATTAACATGTTTGGTAGTTAGTGGTCTACTTAGATTAATACTTCAATTCTAAGAAAGCTATTTAGATAGTTAAAGCAAAATTGATTTAAGTGTCCCAGTTTAGTACCTGAGGGACAGACGGCAACACAGGAAACCCTGTAACATTTAAACTGCAGCTGTTCTTACTGGAAAGACCTAGCCTGAGCTAGGATGACATATAATGTATATGCACCAATTCTATCTCGCTTGGGAAGAACTATGTGTGTGTTTTTTAAAAAAAAACTCAAATCCTTCATAGCACCTGATATGATTACAGTCATTCAGAAAATACTGTTGAGGCTCTAAAATAGGTTAGTTGTCGTAGTTAGGCCCCAATGAAATCAATAAATGTGAAAAGCTAAATACAACTTATGTCAAACAAATAAGTAAGTAACCTAACATGGATCCAAATCCAATAATCATAGTTCAATATTGTACTGAGAAAAGTTTAAAACAGCTAGGACACCTTTATCAATATTTATTTAGTAGATGCCATTTATTAAATGTTAATTCTGAGTTTTAGTCTATGAGGCTCAAACAAGGCCAACCAGTTATGCAGTCGTTCTTAACCTGTGGGTCCCCAGGATTTTGGGGATACTTCTAGTAAGTAATAATAATATTTATTTATTTATTTATTTAAATCAGTGCTGGGCTGGGAAGAAATCCCTAAATGGATGGCCCTTGGTTTACAAGCTGGATGGCCACCTGCCAGGAGAGTTTTGATGGTGCCCTTCTACCTGGAAGAAGGGAGTTGGGCTAGATCAGTCGTTCTCAACCTGTGGGTCCCCAGATGTTTTGGCCTACAGCTCCCAGAAATCCTAACAGCTGGTAAACTGGCTGGGATTTCTGGGAGTTGTAGGCCAAAACACCTAGGGAGCCACAAGTTGAGAACCACTGGGCTGGTTGTCCCTTGGGGGTCCCCTCCAACTCTAGGATTTTTTGTGAAAATGAAGAATTGGTTAATATTTGTTTCTTCTATCAGTTAATATGAGAGACATTCAATGTTGTAGCTATTTTTTAAAAAAGGTTTTTGTCAAAAAAAATCCTAAAATCAGTCGATGTATGAATATTTCTTAAAGTTGAGTAAAATGATCCCCTATTATTTTGGGTCACTGTATAGACAATTCAAGGAGATAGTTCTTGCAGCTTTTATTTTTAAATGTTGTTTGTAAAATCTTTGAAATTTCCCCAAAAATTGTGGTTAAGTGAAATGTTCTGACACTTGATGGGCTAACAGTGGTAAATGTGTTCTACCATTGTAGCAAGTTCCTCCCCAACAGCTGTAAAAATGAGGGAGAAATGAGCCCCTGAAGTTCCCCCACTTGTGTAATTGCTAAAACTACAGGAATTGAACAGGAAGACATAGTTTTATAATTTTTATTGTTTTTATTGCTTTTATGGTTTTTAATGTATTTGATGTAATTTTTTGCTTTTAACTGATGTATGTATTTATATACGGCATGTAATTGTTGCCGATTTGAACGCCGCCCTGAGTTGCCTTCGAGCTGAAATGGGCGGGAAAAAAGTGATGTAAATAAATAAATAAATAAATAATAAACAAAAACTCCCATGAATCTACTAAAACTCCCAGGAATCCCAGCTGTTAAGATTTATGGGAGTTTACATTTCAAGTTATGGGAGTTGAAGGTCAAAACATCTGGGGACCCACAGATTGAGAACCACTGCCCTAATGAAAACAAGGAAATGCAAAGTTTATTTTACTTCTCTTGGGGAATGTAGGGTGTCTTACCTTTCCTGTCTTCTGATCAAACCAGACAAGTGCATGGTTCCTAGACAGGACCTTGCAGTCAAAGGTGGCATTATTCTGAGCGGGTCGACATCGAGCCACTGAGCGCCCAATTTTGACAGGCTCATCCAGGTAGACATGGCGTTCTTGAAACGGGTGAGAGTTCGGGCGGCAAGTGAAGATAGCCAAGGCTGAAGGCATCGAGGAGAGATATGCGGTGCCACACCAACCAGGAAAGAAGAGAAACTCTTCTTGACCCAAGCCACCCTCCACAGTTGATGAGCAAAAACCTCGCAACACTTCACATTAAAGCAGGGCAAACATTATCTGCCAGTGAGATCTAACAACGCATACTTTCAGTGTGTGAACCAGTGCAGGCAATAATCCAGCAAAAAAGCCCCATTGTCTCCGGCAGCGAGTCTGCAAAGTTCCACTTTAATCCATGTCTGTCAATAATGAGGACAAGCATCTGAAGAGGAACAGAGCTTGTTAAATTAAGGTGGGGATGGCTGTAACTCCAAGCGAATGACTCACGCGAAAATTCCTGTTTGGGATGTAATCGCGCTTTTCCCTTCCATCAACAGGCCCCAGGAGTTTCCCTCGCGCGCGAGGCAAGATTCAGGGAGTGGGGAAACGGGGGAAGGAAGGGCCAAAGGACTGCAAAACAACCCAACGTGAGGAAAAGATGGTCAGCCCAGTCCAGGGGTGAGTCCACGGCTCGTCTTCCTCGGGCATCAAGGCAGAGTCAGGCACCTCAAGGCGAAGGGAGAAAGAAGCCTGTCCTCCTCCACCTCCTCCTCCTCCTCCTCAGGCCCAGGCAGGAGGGCTCAAAGGGCCGCCCGCCCAATGCTCCTGGGAGGCAGGGGAGCGCTCTTCCCGGCCAAGAGGGCTCCATGCACCTGGGGAGGCATCCCAGGCGGTGGCCTTTCCTGAGCAGGGAGGCAGATCTGACAGCAGGCGATGGCCAAAGGGAAGGAGAGGGGCCAGGGCACTGCAGGTGTCTCCTGCTGCTGCTGCTTCTTGGCTGAGGTGCAGGCCTGGAGCGTTCTTGCCTGCCTTCCCAACCTTCTCTCTCTCGCTTTCTGCCTCCCTCAGGAGTCCGTCGACGAGGAAAACTTTCCCCCGACCTGTGGGAAAAAGAAGAGAAGAGAAGCGTCAAAACAAACGCCGGGGAAGCTGAGGCGGGGAGGGGAGCGGAGGCCGGCCCAACCGCCGCCTTCCCACTTCAGGAGAAGAGAGCGAGCGAGGGAAGGAAGGAAAGAGGGCCGCCCTTCGCGGAAGGAAGGAAGGACAGCCAAGCGGGAAGCTCCCCTCCTTCTTCTCCTTCTCCTTCTTCTCCTCCCCTCCCTTCCCTGCCCTTCCCTCGCCAACCGCTCTTACCTTCCCAGCCGCAGTGGGAGCCGCCATACTGACTGGAAACCTACCCGGTATGGCAGCAGCAGCAGGAGGGAGGGGGGGAGGGGGGAGGGGGAGGAGGGAGCCGAGCAGGGGGAGGAGCCGAAAGCAAAGCTCAGGGACGCCCGGGTTCCTCTGCGCAGGCGCAGAGCCGCAGCGCGCCCGGGCAGCGCATGCGCGGAAAGGGGACGCGAAGCCTGTGGCTTCCGGCTGGTTGCCCTGAACTAACCGGGCCGCTTCCGGATCTCTTCGGGAACGCAAGAGGAGGTTGTTGCCCTAGTTGAAGTTCAGTGTTGTCCTTTATCCAGAGCGAGCGGGGAAAGGTCTTCTATGGGAAGGCGGGCAAAATAATGCTCTCGCTGTCCTCAGGGGAACTAAAAAGTTAATTCAGAGTGTTTCAAAGATGAGGACTATCCTACAGCCTGGATCCATGGCACCTGTGTGGTGCCAAATGCCCTCAGCGAGATGCCATCATGTCTTGGAGGCCGAGCAGGGCCTGTCCTGGCTAGTTTTGGGGCCCTTCCACACAGCCTTATATCCCAGGATATCAACCCTAATGAGAGCTAATATAATTTGGGCCCCACCTACACTGACCATTTAATACAGTTTCAAATCAGTATTTGCAAAATGCCCTCAGCGAGATCCCATCATGTCTTGGAGGCCGAGCAGGGCCTGTCCTGGCTAGTTTTGGGGCCCTTCCACACAGCCCTATATCCCAGGATATCAACCCTAATGAGAGCAAATATGATTTGGGCTCCACCTACACTGACCATTTAATACAGTATTGAAAAAAAGTGGTTTCAATGTGCATATGATTACCTAGGAAAATCCTGGAGCCAGTTGAAAGCCTGGGTGATGATTCCCCAAACCACAGAGCATTGATGCACATTAAGGACTTTTAAAACATTTTTGTGAAGGTTTATTCTCTAGCCGCCACAGTTTGAAGCTAGCTTTGTACTGCATTAAATGGTCAGTGTAAATGAGGTCTTAGTTCATGGCATTTTCTCGGATTTTACAAATTAACCAGCCCTGGCTTTTGTAATTGTATGATCTGTATTTTAGTGTATTTTGTATTAATGTATTATGATGCTATTATGTTTGCTATATTTGTGTTGAATTTTCTGCTGTTAGCCGCCCTGAGTCCCTCTTCAGAGGTCGAGAAGACCGGGTTATAAAAGCTCTAAATAAATAAATAAATAAATTCCATTTTCGAAGGCACTAATTAACAAACCACAAAATTGCACATAAAAACACAATAAATGTGTCAGATTTCAAAACATGATAAAATCTTCCCCATGCCTTCTTCAGCATTTTACCATTTTCAATAGGTCTCACTCCCAAGTCGCCAAGTATTTTGCAAATAAAGGCCAATTCTTGCCCTTGCAATACTTTTATGCCACTTCATGATGTCAGCTGTAGACAATTTCTTTGTGTATAGAAATACAGTCAAGGGATGTTGAGGAAAGAACACCATGTCTGAGGGTAAATTTGTATAGTTTGGGGTTGGAAATGGTCCAAAAATCTGAAAACTTCAGGAGTCCTTCCACCCAGCCCTATATCCCAGAAAATCCCACATTATCTGAGTGTGGACTCGGATAACCTAGTTCAAAGCAGATATTGTGGGATTTTCTGTCTTGATATTCTGGGATATAGGGCTGTCTGGAAGGACCCCGAGTCCACACTGCCATATATTTAAGTTCAAAGCAGAGATTGTGGGGTTTTTTGCCTCTATATTCTGGGTTATTTGGCTGTGTGGAAGGGACCTTGGATGGGAGGCTGCCAACTAACTCCAGGCTGTATTTCTGAGACAGGATCTGGCAAAACTAACACATAGGCCCCTTCCACACAGGTGAATAAAATCCCACGTTTTCTGATTTGAACTTGGATGTATGGCAGTGTGGAGTCATCGATAACTAGGCAGATAATCCACAATATCTGATTTGAACTGGCTTATCTGAGTCCACACTGCCATATATCCCAGTTCAAAACAGATATTGTGGGATTTTCCGCCATGATATTCTGGGATATATGGCTGTGTAGAAGGGCTCTAAGTGTCCCTTGCCTGTGAAAAAAAATGCATGTGTTCCTTCAGGATTTCTGGCAGTCATCATTGCATTAACATTGGATTTAAATCCAGTGCTGGCACCATCTAAAGTGGGCCGTGGAAATTGATGGGCCTTTTTAGTCATGTTGTGATCGAGTTAACTTCAGCTTACGGTGGCCCCATTAATGAATCAGAATCATAGAGTTGGAAGAGATCCCAAGGGCCATCCAGTCCAATCCCATTCTGCCATGCAGGGAAAGCATAAACAAAGCACCCCCGACAGTTGGCCATTCAGCCTCTGCTTTAAAACCCCCAGAGAAGGACACTCCAGGCAGCATATTCCACTGCCAAGCAGCTCTTATAATCAGGTAGTTCCTCCTAATGTTTAAGAGGAATCTATTTTCCTTTGGTTTGAATTCATTGCTCCTTGTCTCCAGACTAGCAGAAAACAGGCCTGCCCCCTCCTCAGTGTGACATCTTTTCAGGCACTTAAATATGACGAACATATCTCCTCTCAATCTTCTCTTTTCCAAGCTAAACATATCCAGCTCCCTCATAGGGATTGGTTTCCAAGCCTTTGACTCTTTGCTTACCGTCTCTTTGAATCCATCCACCTGCAGTCTTTTCATACTATCCTCAACCAAGCATTGTCATTTTTTTTCTGTGTCATGTCTTCTCATGCTAAGTCCAAAATACAACAGTCTCAGTTTAGTCATCTTGGCTTTTTAGGAGAGTTTAGGCCTGATTTATTATATAATTAATTCATTTGTCTTTTCAGCAGTTCACAGCATCCATAGAACCTTTCTCCGCCACATTTCAAATTATTTCATTTTTTTTTTCTTATCAGCTTTTGTTGCTTCTAGCGCTCACAACCATGCATAGAAATTGGAAACATGATGGCATGGGCAATTCTAATTTTAGTATTTAATAATATATCCTTACAATTCAGGATCTTATTTAGTTCATAATTTCCCTTCCAAGCCTTTGTAGCTCCCTACATGGTTTGGGTCCAGGTTACCTACAGGGTCACCTTCTTCTGCACAATCCGCTTCTTAGGACACTGAGGTCCTCTGGGGGGCAGCTACTCCAACCAATCAGAACCTGACTGGCGACTGTCACCCAGAGGACCTTTTCATTGGCTGCCCCAAAACTCTGGAATGATCTGCCAGAGGACCAACAAATTTAAGAGCTGTCCAAATTTAAACCAAAATTAAAGGCCTATCTCTTCGGTCAGACCTACCCAGTCAACTTTGAAACATGAATTTTGGATTTGAATTCTATTACTGCTATATGTTCATCTTTGTACCCTGTATTTGATGTATGTTTTTATAATGGTGCATTTCTATTGATATATTTTATTGTATGTATTTTATTTTCGTATGTTTTGACTGTTAACCTCAAGCTGTTAGGAGAACCGAGTAACATGAAATGTATTATTATTTGTCATAGTAGTCTTCTTCTGATTTCTTGACTACAGTCTCTGTTCTGATTGATGACTGGACGAAGTTATGGAACATACTGACCTAGTTCAATGTTTTAATTATCTACTTTAAGATTATTTAAATCACCTGTGGTCATTTTGTTTTGTTTTAGTTATCCTAGGTCCTCTTTATTTCAATAAATATTACTAGCATTAGATTTACTTTAGGGCTGCCCAGAAGTAAATTCCATTTAACTCTTTGACTGTTTACTCAGAAGTAGGTTTATGGTCATGGAACTGTTAGGTTCCATGAACATCACAGTAACTCACAGTTAAGAAAGTAAGATACTTGCCAATAGCCCTTTTTTTGCTGGAATTTTACAGGGTCTATAGAGACTATTGTTCTTCTAAGCCTCCTTTGTTTTTCCACTACTAATTACATCATCTTTACCACATGGAATATATTAAGGAGAAGTGGAAGTACAACACAATGCTTCAGGCATTTCTCAATGTAGCACTTCTCATATTAACAACTCAAAGGAACTGTACAGCTATTTAATGTTTTTTTTTTCCCATAATGGATTTTCTGTTGTATTTATTTAATTCATATCCTGCCTTCCTTCAAATATGGGACCTAAAATGACTAAAACAAAACATATTTGAAAGCTGTCATGCGGAAAACAAATTAAATTAATTAATTAAATAGTTTTAAATCATTTTATCAGTCAAAATAGAAAAAAAACATTTTTTTTAAAAAAAGCAAACAATTTCATATCAACAAGAAACATATCTAAGGCCCCTTCTATCATCTTTTCTACACTGCCATATAATCCAGATTTTCTACTTTGAACTGGATTATATGAGTCTACACTGCCAATTAATCTAGTTCAGAGCACATAATCTGTATTTTATATGGCAGTATGGGCCCCTTCTACAATGCCATATAAAATACAGATTACCTGCTTTGAACTGGATTATATGGCAGTGTAGACTCATATAATCCATTTCAAAGCAAATAATGTGGATTATTTGCCTTGATAATCTGGATTAAATGGCACTGTAGAAGGGGCCTAAATAAGAGCAGTTGAATCTGTGAATGCAAAATCTATGGCTAGTCCCAAGCAGAGTAGTCTCTTTCAATCAGTTGTTGAATGGTGAGACAACACATCCTATAGACATAATTGGTCTACTCTAATGAGTGTAAATATGATTTGGGCCCCACCTACACTGACAATTTAATACAGTTTCAAATCAGTATTGAAGAAAGTGGTTTCAATGTACATATGATTACCTAGGAAAATCCTGGAACCAGTTGAAGGCCTGGGTGATGATTCCCCAAACCACAGAGCATTGATGCACGTTAAGGGCTTTTAAAACATTTTTTGTGAAGGTTTATTCTCTAGCCACCACAGTTTGAAGCTAGCTTTGAACTGCATTAAATGGTCAGTATAGATGAGGCCTTAGTTCATGGCATTTTCTCTGATTTTACAAATTAACCAGCCTTTCCATTTTCAAAGGCACTAATTAACAAACCACAAAGCTGCACATAAAAACACAATAAATGTGTCAGATTTCAAAACATAATAAAATCTTCCCAATGCCTTCTTCAATGTTTTACCA